GTCCCTGCGCTCCCCGGCCGTCGGGGTTTGTCCAGCGCCTCCTGGACCTGCGGGGACCAGCACCGTCCTCCCCGCCCCTAGTCAGTCATATAGGTTTAAGGCAATTTGGGGACAGTCCCGGGGCGGTGACCAACGGGAGTAGGGACGCCGGCCAGCACGGGCAGAAGGGCTGGACGGAGAAGCAGAATGGTGTTGTCCCACGGGCCGGCGTGGGCGCACACTTGACAGCAGGGGCAGAGTAGACGGGAGGAGGCAGGGGCGGGATGGGACAGAGGCGGTGGGTGGAGACGCAGGGCCGGCCGCGTGGGACAGCTTCAGCGGCTCCTGTGTGCTGGTTGACAGGGAGGCGCTGTCCAGACCAGGAAATACCAGAGCGAAGGCCAGGACAGGGTGCGGCTGGGCGGAGGGGCCGGGCAGGGGCAACAGGGGGCCCGGTGACCTCAGCAGAGCCTACTGTGGACAGAAGCTGGGCTTGCAGGAGAGCAGGTCTGGCTGCGCAGTGGCCACAGGCAGGAGGTGACTCACCTGTGAGCGCGGGACTGGCCACACCCCACGCGCCGCGCTGACACCCAAGCAGCCTGGGGAGCTAGGAGGAGGCCGGTCCGCTCTGCGTTGCGGTGAGTCACCCAGCCTCTCCCAGTGTGTCGAGCTGGGAGCCCTGCGGGGTCCCGGGACTCCTGCCCTTCTCCGGCCTCAGTTTCCCCGTCTCTGCATTGCGCACAGTCTACCACTTAAGGGGGCTTTCAACTGGAGGAGGGGCAGGGTGAAGGGCTGGAGCTGGGGAGGGGCTTAGAGGGGTGAGCTCCTGCTAGGCCCCTTACATTAAATTCCAGCACCTTGTCCTCTCCTGCAGGCACTCACAGGCACACACAGGCACTCACACGCATGCACACCCACATTCACGCTGGCCTCGCCCCAGCCGTACAGCCTGCTCCTCTCTACTCCAGGATGAATCCCAGAACTCCCTAGCCTGGGGGAAGGCCCCAACCAGACTCCCGGCCTCGGCCTCGGCTGCAGCCTCCCCTCCGCCACTCCTCTGCTACACCCGACTTCCGGCTGGAGCTGGGGTACTGTGGCTTGCTTCCCCAGGGTGAGTATTCCACGGGGGCTGGCGACCTGGAGGGCCCCAGTGTTAATGGCCGCTGACCCAGGTCTGTGGGACTCACTCTGAACAATTCACAGGGGCTCAACATCCAGGTCGCCCCAAGGAGTTGCCTCCATAGTTAGTTCTTCGGAGGGGAAAGCTGTGATCCAGTCGCACCCCATTTCACCAGGTGGTGACAGGCTCAGAGAGGAGCAGGGCCAGGCGTAGGCCGGGGTGTGGAGGGACACGGGAGCCGCTCTTGGGAAGGTGTAGGTGATGGGGCGGTTTGAGACCATAAGGACAGACTGGAAACATGAGTGGGGGCACTCTCACCCGCCTCACGCCCGGGACGGGGGCTGGGGTCAGCAGGGACAGCAGTGCCGGTGTCCAGCTGCTTCCCCTTCCTGCCCGGCTCTGCTACGGGAGCAGCAGCAGCAGGGGCAGGAAAGGTGGGGCCGGGACGAACGCCGCCCTGGGAGTCCTGGGCTCTGGCGAGGGAGGCCTGTGATGCCCATGGCGTCCCGAGGGTGAGGCCCCTCCCACTGCCCGGCCGTTATCGGCTGCCCCATGATGTCTCCAACCAGACCAGCTAATTCCAAAGCCTCAGTCAGAATCTGGGAGAGATGTGGCCCGGGGGGCCTGAGCTCGGAGACCCTCGCAGCAGTTTCCACCTGGAGGTTTCTGCTCTGTCTGGACACTGCGTCCTGCTGACCTCTGCATGCTTGGGAGCCCCTCGGCCCCCTGCAGCACCCCACTTCCTGAGTGGTCCCTGCAGCAGGCCAAACCTGTACCGTCTCCTTCGTGGCCACCCCCAAGTCTGGCTCTGGGTCCGCTGTGGCCTTGCTGAGGCCCTCGTGGCTCTCTGTAGTGGACGGAGGCAAAGTCAGACCACTTCGGGCCAAGTCGAGGGGCTAGGCCTGCAGGCCCCTGGCTCCTGCGCTCTCCTAGCTGCCCACCACCTCTTCCTCGTGTCTTGCCTGTCCTCCACGGCTCCTGTCAGAAACGTCCGACTCCCTCGGTCCCTCCAGACCTCTTCTGCTTACATGACCCAGGTGGGCAGTGGATCCTGGGGCCTCGAGGACAGGACTGGCACTTCCGACAGCAATGTCCCCATTTCCAGAGACCACAGGGTCCCTGAAGGATGGCAAGGCGGCCAGGACACAGCGACACGGGGTTTTCCCTGGACACTTGGGAGCCATAGCCGGTGCTGAGTAAGGGAACAAGCAGGCTGGAACTGAGCTCCAAGAGCAGGTACCCCGCGGGGACCCAGGGACGCTCCCCTTGGCAGTTCTGAGCCCTCTCACCCAGTCTCGCTGCCTCCGCTGGCCTGGCAGAGCTGAGTGAGGGCAGGAGCCAGCCCAGGGACTCCCTGGGAACGTGAGCTGGGCTCGCAGCTGTGTCCCCATGTGGGTCGCCGTGGGGCTTGCTTCTGGACACTGGCTCTGATCTGTGCCCATCCAGGAGGCACCATGTGCAGCGTGGAGGACACAGCCCTGCTGCAGCTGAAGGAGGCCTTCCTGGCCACGCTGGAAGGGGTCAGCTTGAGCATCCTGCAGCCCTTGCTCCTGGCCGGTAGGTCCAGGCTCCCGGGAGGCGGGGAGGGGACCGAGGAATGGTCCCTGGGGCAGGAGACCCCCTTGCTGGGCCCTCTGAGCTATAGCTTCCTCAGTGTCTAGTGGCACTTGGTGTCGTGGCCCAAGGCTGGGACTGCTCCCTTCCCACAGTGACCACGAGGGGCCAGGATGTGAGACTGTGCTGGTGCCCAGTCTGCCTGGCATAAAGCAGGGATTCTTCCTCTGTGGGCACAGGCCTGGTGTTGGCCCCCGTCCACCTCTGTTCTTTGTCACCCAGGGCCCAGGAGTGCCGAGAGACCCCTGACCGGGAGTCAGCATGCCTGGCCTCCCTTGTGGAGTGACCTTGGGCAGGTGCTGTTGGCAAGGGCACCTGCACACCTATGAGATGGTCCAGGATCCTCTAGCAACCCTGAATACTCGCTCGGGATGGGCAGGGAAGCCAGGCTCACAGGATGCTCCCCAAGATTGTCAGGTTGCCCTGGTTAGCAGGAGGTGGCTGTGCACCTGAGTCCTCCTACAGCCCCATCCCCAGACCCCAGGGACACAAGACCCTGCTATGTCCTGCTCACCCTGCAGCTGTGCCCTGTGCAGACCCAGAGCCCTCGGAGCCCCGGGGCCAAGAGTGCCTGTGGCTCCTGCAGCAGCTGCATGGGAGCTTCCAGCAGCTGCAGGAGGTGACCAAGCAGAGCCTGGAGTCCCTGCAGAAGAGGCTCCACCAGCCAGGCACCACCGGCCTGGAGTCCCTGCTGCTGCTGGGCAGTGCTGACCGCTTCCTGCAGGTCCACATGGAGTAAGGCAGCCGGAAGGCCTGGGGTGGGGCCCTGGGACAAGACCGCGAGTTCCCACTGTCTTAGGGGGTCACAACCTGGCAGTGCCCGAAGCCAGGCCTCCCTGGCTCAGTAGGAGGGATTGGGGTGCCCTCGGGGGCAGAGGCTTAGGTCTGGAGCCAAGGACTGGGCTTGCATGTTCCCCTGTCCACATGCAGGTATATCGAGTCCTACACAAGCTGCGTGGTGGTGCAGGTCTTCCAGCAGGTGACAAAGAGGAAGGGGTGAGCAGGGGGTGCTGCAGGGGACCCCCGAGTGGATGGGGGTGTGGGCAAAGGAGACGGGGCCAGGGGGCCACCCCGGAGCAGTGGATTCACAGCGGGAAGTGCCCTCACCTCCCTGCCTGCCCTCAGCCACGGCCGCTGACCCATGGCACAGCAGAGGGGGCAGCACTGGGCAGGGCAGGGCTGGGCAGGACGGGACAGAGGGTGCCAGGCTACGCCTCCTTCTCCACAGCAAGTACTGGCATAGGCAGTGGGGGCTGCTGCAGAAACACCTGCCGGACGTGAGCTTGGAGGGCCCGGTGGACACTGTGCTGGCCCAGGCCCTGTGCCAGCCGCTCACACAGCACCTGGAGCAGTGTGTGCCCTTCCTGCTGCAGCTTGGGGACAGCCTTGGCGAGGTGGGCACCGGACACCTGCAGAAGGGGTGAGGGAGCAAGGGCGGGGAGAGGGGGGCCCAGGCCTGACCCTGGCTCGGAGGGGACACAGCTCCGCCCTGGAGGCCCAGAGGGCACCCCTGTCCCTCACGGCCTTCCCATCCCTCGCAGAGTCACCCCGCCCAGGAGCTGGTGGCGAAGGCTGTAACCCTCTACAGGAACCTGCAGTCCTTCCTGCAGCAGGCGCTGGACCAGGCCTCGGCCACTCAGGCCCTGTGGCACAGTCTGAGCAGCCGCCTGAAGGTGAGCCAGAGGGGTGGCCAGGCCAGGGGGCCTCAGTGGGCACGAGGGTGGGGCTGCCGGGTGGCTTGAGCTGCTGGCTCTGTGCTCCCTGACTCAGTTTCTCCGTTTGGAAGGGACAACCAGATGGCTGTTAGTCACCCACGTCCATCCACGGAGTCGCTCGTGGGCGGCCCTGACCTGGCTCTGGGGAAAGCAGCCAGGAAGCCAGTGGCACACGCCTATAACCCCAGCCCTCTGGGAGGCTGAGGCAGGGGGATCACAAGCTTAAACCCAACCTGGGCAATTTAGCAAAAGACCCTGTCTCAAAATGAAACAACAAAAGGGCTGGGGGAGTAGCTTGTTGCAAAAAGCCCTGGGTTCAATCCTCCATACAGCAAAAACTGCAGAAGTGAATTCTCTCCAGGGTGTCACCAAGCACCCCTGTCACTGCCCAGCTCAGCACCCCTGTGCCCCGGGAAGGAGAGACAGGCCAGGCAGGTGGAGGGAGCACCACAGAGCCCGGTGAGGGTGGACGGCACCTGGGCAGTGCCCAAGAGGACTCAGGGGCAGGCCTTGCTGGCGTGGCTGTGGCAGACCTGGGGTCCCCTGGAAGGGGTTGCGGCACCTGGGGTGGGTCTGCCTAAGCCTGTATCCCCCAGGATGCGCTCTGCACTCCGGCTCGCCGCCTCTTGCAGGACAGCCAGGACATCCCCGTGATGGCCACCCCGCTGCGGGCCGAGCGCGTGCTGCTCTTCGATGACGCCCTGGTGCTGCTGCAGGTTGGGGGCTGACCAGCCCGAATTTCACACCCACGCCCTGGGTGCTGCCCCTGACTGTGCCTGGCCCTCCACCCAGGACCTTTGCACAGGCTGTTGTCGCTGCTGCCGGCCTCTGTCCGGGGAGCTCCTCGGCCCTCAGGCCTGGGCCTTGTGCCCCTTTCCCTGCTGGCCACCGAGCAGTGACCTTGCTGGGCTGAGCCCAAGGGCGCAACACAAGCTGTCCCCAGAGGAAAGGCCCTTCCCTCCAGCTCAGACAGGGTGGCCTTCCCAGTGGAAGGGACAGTATGAGCAAAGTTTGGAAAGGGAGGTTTGGGGAGGAGCCCGCGAGGGAGCTATGGCAGAGAGTGGATGGCAGAGGGGCCAGAAGGCTCCAGGCTCCGAAGTTTGAGGACTCTATCGGCTGTGGAGGCAGGCGGCTGTGGATGCCCGGCCAGGGCGAGGGTGGAAGTGGAGCCAGCCAGGGTGGGCAGCAGGCGGCAGGGAGGGGCGGCAGGGAGGGACAGCC